TCACATGTAATAACATCAAAGATACACACATAATTCTACATGATGTGTATATACAACCATTCAGATAATAAGACATCACATGTAATAACATCAAAGATACACACATAATTCTACATGATGTGTATATACACAACTATTCAGATAATAAGACATCACATGTGATAACATCAAAGATACACACATAATCTTACATGATGTGTATATACAACTATTATGATAATAAGACATTACATGTAATAACATCAAAGGAAGTGATGTTTTAGTGTTCTTTCCTTCATATTAAAAATAAATAGCTGTTGTGTAATCTTCATATCTATATTCTATACATTGAAAGATAAGAGAGAAAGAGAATTAAGGTCTCAATACACAGAAATTGTATTTTAATATATATATATATTAGTTTGTGCAGTAAGACTGTAATCATGTTTTTTAATTCAAAGTACTTACTAAGAACATCTGTACCTCACTAACTTTTACAACATTAACTGTTTTTTTTATTATTATTTAAATCTCTGCAGCAGTTACAGTTATAGCCAACAACTGGAAGAAAAATCATGTCTAGATATATTTTACTAATCGTAACATTAAATTCAACCACAAAAGTTAAATAAACTGTGTATGACAGCTACTTCAGTCCAATGTACTTGACCAAATATGCTAGCCAACAATCTATGCCAGTCTCTGCATCATACAACATTAAAACAATATTCAGTGAAAACACGACGTGTGCAGTAACAAGTTGGTTTCTTACATATATCTGCATCTTAGCCCCTGGTAGTAAGTATGAGCGATACAATTAGTCCATATAGACCTAAAACTTCAGCAAAGATGAGAATCAGAATCATGCCTACAAACAGACGAGGTTGCTGAGCTGTTCCTCGGACTCCAGCATCACCAACAATCCCAATAGCAAATCCTGCAGCAAGTCCACTGAGTCCCACACTCAACCCAGCACCAAGGTGTAAGAAGCCACTGAAATAACATACTTCAGTTTAACATAAAACAGATATATAACACAAAGAGTGGATGTTTATTTTTAAGATAACAAAAATAACATCCATGGTAGTGAAAATCTTACATCATGGGATGCTTTTTGGATGTTTTAAAGTCAAGAAAATAATCTTCTAATCAAATTAATGTTTCCAATTATTTAAATGATAAAGTAATTGAAACATTGCTATAATTACTTGTAATTAGTAATTACGGTTATTATTTTTTATTAGTCCAACTATCTACGAAATTAAAATGTTGTCATTATGTTTGTCTGTATTAAGCTACACATTGAGCTTGCTAAGCTCTGCCAACCAAGGGCACCAAAACATGATTTGTAAAATTATAAGATTTTTAACTATTGCATGAGAATATCAATAAGTTAAATTAAAACAATTAATGAGCCCAATGATAAATCAACAAACAAATTCCATCAACCACCTAGCTTTACTTCCCAATGCTATTAAGATGGTACTGATACATGTAGTCTCTCCTACATTGGTGTTCCCTGATCTTTAGATTTTTTTGCTATAAGATATACGAGTATCCTTATCCCTAAAACCGTAAGCTATCTATGGTAGCATTGCACGCTACTATGTTAATACCGAACCCTCCACAACTGGTAGTAGACTTAACCATGGGAAAAAAATATATAT